TACTTTATTAATGGAAGCACAGGGAGGTAATAGCTGGTTAGACCACATTTGGAATACTGCATGTAATTCCAGCTGCCAGATTTTTAAGAGGGAACATAACACACTGGTGTGTTCAGACAAGGGTAACTGGTGATGGGTCTGGAAATCACATTTCCTAAAGGAGTGACTCAAGGAACCAGAAATGTTTGGCCTGGATAAGGGAACACTTAGAGAAGATGTTGAAGCCTCCCTCAAAAAATTACTGTGTGGCTGTACTGAAACAACCCTAGAGGGCAAAACAAGGATGAATGAGTGGATGCTATTGAGGGAGTTTTCAGTTGGATTAGGAAGAAAGTTTCTTATAGCCAACACTGGACGAAGCCATGACTATGACAATGGGACCTTCTAAAACGTCATGCAGGCACTCTTGCACTAGGTAAAGGGGTAATTAGAAAGTGTTCTTTAACCTGTGCTTTGATGAGCTTTCAGGTAGCAGTATCTTCAGTCAGCAGGACTAGAGAGGACGGCCAGTGGTGACCTCAGTTTGGTGTAGAAAAGAAACAGCTTCGGGAGATCCATGAGCAGAGCCAGGTGCCAGCCTGATCCTGCTCAGCTATGTTACCTTGCTGATTATTCTTTAAACCTCAAACCTCTCATCGGTAAATAAACATAAACATTATTGTCCTTTACAGGATGTATTTAGTTAAGTCCTTAAAGGTAGGGATAATGCCTTATTTAAAGCAAAGGGTTTGGTACTTGATAGACCCTCAATAAAATTTTTTGAACAAATGACAGAATACGGACTGTGTGGGAGAGCACTTGAATGGCAGAGAACCATATAAACACAAACTGTCACTCTCTGACATTTCCCCTCTCAAACATAAACAATTTGAGACTAGCAGTGACCCTGACCCCACTAAATACTTCCCTTAAGAGCTAAAGATCATGAGAATTCACTTGATCCTTTTAGGATCAAGGAAATTCACCTGCAAAGGGATAATTTGGAAGGGAGGTGGTTTTCAGACTGAGCATTCTACTTTGCTCATTCTTCAGTGGCACATAAAATACTTTTCAGAAGTTCATGCCTGCATATCCTTGAAGGCATAGATGAAAAGTCCCTCACCCAGAGACATTCCCTGGCTTCTCAAACTGGCCTGTTGCGCTGTCTTATAGCACACTTATTCCCTTCCTTCATTGCTCCCATCAGAGTTTATGATAATACAACACTCCATGTGATTAGTTGCTTATTATTTACGTTTTCCACACATAAATTCCCTGGGGCAAGAGCTGTGTTTTGTTTTTGTTCAGTGCATTTTGTGTAGTCCCAGTACCAAATTTAATGCCTGGCTAATATTAGAATCTCAGTAACTATTTGTTGATTGAATGAATGAAGCAAGGTTTACAATATTTTTGTTAAGTGGAAACTTCTATTGCTTTCTTTGTACCTTGTTTTGGTTTTTCAAAGTAATGTTTCCTAACTTTTGTCAAAAATAATGTTTCTATTAGAAGTTGAAATTGCATGCACTATGATAGGATTTTAACCTATTTTGCTGATAGGATCTGTACAATTGATCAGTACAAATTTATTTCTTATGCCTTTATTTGTCAAGAACCTAGAGGTTTCTCTTCCTAAGTCAGGCTACCACCTGCTGTCACATGGTAATCAGTTGTTACTTTTGGGCCTCTGGCTGAACATCCACGAGATGTCTTCTAACCAGGTGCGAGATCCAAGGACACAACTCCCGAAAGCCCATACCAACTTTATAATCTAGATTTTGTGGCCTGCCTGTTATGAGATCTTCTTTGATAACTCTTGATACAAAGAATGCTTGTTTGTGAAATTATAAACCTTTTTGTGTATATTCTTTCATGTACTGCATTTAAAATTATATGAGATTGTCTTATTTACAAAACTGAGCCCAGGGACCTATGTAGGACTAAAAAAAACCCAATGCAGTTTTTTTCCTTGAGGCATAATGGAGATCTTTTGGTGTTTTAATTGTGCTTGTTTAGGCCAGCTTTGAAACTCATATCCCTTCTCTCAGATCAAGGGCTGAGGGGAGGTTCCTAGAAGACAAACCCACCCGTCCCCAAAACTGCTCTTTCATCAGGGACAGAGTTACCTCTCTCCCTAGTGATTTATATGCCTGGGGGTATTACAGAAAGAATGTTGGTGAGGGTCTGAAACATGTCTTTCTCCAGAGGAGGAAGTGCACCATGGTCTGTAGGACATATGGCATATAGCTCCTAAAAGATTAATGGGAACCTGAGACTTTGCTGGGTCCTCTGACCATGAATGATCAGGGTGTTGGAAGGAGTGCCTCCCCTGAGCTTTGAAGTATCCCTGACTACAAAGGTGTGAGGAACTTTAGAGTGAATAGGAGTCCCCAAAATAGTTTGGCAGACATATGCCTATTGTAAAGAATTCCTGAGACACATATAAGCAAGATTTCAAAACTCTTCAAACCAATGATGGGGAATTTAGGAACCCTTGAGAAGCTTACAGTGTTCATTTTGTAAATTAACAAGACTGGGCACATCTCCAGGGGCTGCAGGGACTCCACAGATTTTCGACGTTTGTCAAATAAGCACGGCTGATGGAAAGCACACCCCTGGCTGCTATAAGTGCAGGTGTCCAGTGTGAGTGCAGTCCTGCCAGCTGCTCATTCATTCTTTTGTCTATCTTTGGCCAGATCCTTCATCTGTTTCCACGGCTACTGCTTTCCCCAGACCCCTTCTTCTTTCCCTCTCTTGGCAGATCATTCACTCCACACTTCACAAATAAACTTGAGGCACTGAGAACCAATTCAACTAATTTCCTGGCCTCATCCCTCCACATGTTTCTATCTACACCTGTGCTCATTCTCACCCCTTTGCCCCATTGGAGAAACAAGTGGTCTTTCTATTCAAGCTCAAATACTTTGCCTGTGCCTTGGACTTATGTCTCTGGGCACATTTTGCTCATATTTTCCAACCTCCTTGCTGGGCTTGTCTCCCACAGTATGTAGCATTTCCTCCCCACTGATCTCATTTTCTTATGGCCACGCTCCTTGAGAGAACAACACTCACCTGCTCTTCTAACTCCCTTGCTTCTACTTACTCCTGAACTTACAATTTCTTATCATTATCTTGATTGGCATCCTTCCGGGATTTTCCATCCTGTCACAGTTCTCCTCTGGACATTTCCTGTCACTCCACCCAGGTTCTCTTCCTGCCACTTGTCTCCTTTCCCTCCTTTCTTTTGCTGCTCTATACTTGCAGTTGGAGTTTTCCCAGGTCATACCTGGGACCCTTTTGGCCTCCTTCACCTAATCTCATTTTCTTATTCAGTTCATTCATTCAGACATTCATTTATTTCATTAATTTTTATTAAGATCTTCCTGTGTTGTCAGATACTCTACTGTGGTCTAGGAAAGAATAAAGTATGCACCTAACTGCCAGGAATCTTGATGCAGTAGGAAATCATTTAAAGAAATAAGTGCAGGGCTGGGGTTGTGGCTCAGTGGTAGAGTGTTTGCCTAGCACATGTGAGGCACTGAGTTTGATCCTCAGCACCACATAAAAATAAAATAAAAGACACTGTGTCCACCTAAAACAAACAAACAAAAAATAAATATTAAAAAAAAGAAGTGCAACTAAATGCTATAGATGTTATAGGAGAATATAGAGGGGTCCAGAGGGTGAGGAAGAAGACTGCACAGAGCCTTTGGGAGAATCTTAAGAGATGAGAAAGAATGTGCCTTCAGGGCTGGGCAAGAGGAATTAAGGAATTCCAAGTAAAGAAGTAGCACATGTGGCACAGTGTTTCAGAGCATGGACTTTGGAGCCAGGAGATCTGGATGAAATCCCAGGTCCTCATCTTGAAGGAATGGGAATTAGAATGTGCTGCTTTTAGAGGTCTTATTTTCTATTTCTGCAACAAGACCTAACATGTATGGCTGCTGTAAAGTTTAGATAACAGCAAAAGTGCTTATTAGCACGATGCTTGTCACAGAGTATGTGATTATTAAATAATAACCACTATTACTATAAATATAATTATAACTTTAATATGTGTTTTATAACCATTACAGGAGGATCTACTTCATAAGACCAAATGAACTAAAATAAATGTGAAAGAACTTTAAAAAAAGTATAATGCAAAATTATTCAGTCATAAAAAGGAATGAAGTTCTTGTACATGCTAAAATATGAATGAGCTTTTAAGAAAACAAGTTAAGGGAAATAAACCACATACAGAAGGACAAATAGTTTATGATTCCCCTTAGTTATGAGGTACTTATAGCAGGCAAATTCATAGAGACAAGAAAGAAGAACAGAGGTTCTAGGAGTTGGGGAAGGAGGCATGAGGAGTTACTACTGAATGGGCACAGAGTTTGATTGAAATGATGAAAAAGTTTTAGAAATAGACAGTGATGATGCTTGTACAACATGGTAAATGTATTTAACGGCACTGAATTGCACACTTAACAAACAGTAGGTTTCAAGTACAGCAGAAAAGGAAGTAACAAATTCATGTGCTATTTTCAACAAAAAAATACCACTAACATTCAGAGTAAGACAAACAAATCAGGACATCTTACCCACTCAGGTTTTTAAAAACTATACTTATATTTGCAGAGTTTTACTAGTATGAAAAATGTATGTTTTTAAATTGGTAAATTTTCAAAAAAGGGAATTAATTTAGGTTGGTATTTTGATCATCCTAAAATCTGGATAATGAATTTACTTCTAAATAAAGAAGTCTAATAATTGTGCCTCATTTTTGACCTGTGGTAGATTCAAGATGACTTGATTTTTTCTAGGTGCTCCCCCTGGTAAATAGTTGCATAGTAAACTTTACAGATACATATTTGTATTGAAGAATTTAAGTCTGTGGGGATATAAAAATGGATACACAAGTACCCTTACACAGAGACAAGTTTAGCATTTAGAAAGCTGCATTTAAAATAAAGAACCAATAAGGACTCAGAAAGGGAAAGTTTCCCTTGGGCCTGGGCAGGAACACATGGCTCACTGACCTGCGTCCCCTGACTGTTGATGTCAACAGCATCACTCCACTCAGTAGTTATTTCATCTGGCAACTCTACTCTCAAACAAAGGCTAGGAAGTAAGTCTTTGGTCTTGCAGTCTGGATAACTGGAAATCTGATGATAGAGCTCATGATGAACTGAACTCTCAGAAGGAATTTTTCTGCAATAAACCTCAAATTTTGGGATGTCTGAAATAAAAAAAAAAAGGCATATGCAGACTTAGATATGAATGATAAAGACTTAGGGATATTAAACATAATGTTGTAAAATAAATTTCTTAAGAAGTTTACAATAATTTTATTTAAACATTCTTTAAAGAATACATGTACTACTAAATAAAAGAAAAATAAACCTCCTGAAAGAAAATTTTATTCTTTAAAGTCTGTTCTATAAAATATACCTTTAATGTTTTCCTTTATAAGCACTGCTACTGGGCATCTGTTGTGGAGAATGACTCGAGGACTAGGGTCTTCTGAGAGGGTTAAATAAGTCACTCCAAAGTGTTCTTGATATGTCAATGCTATAGCCCTAAAACAGAATCAAATCAAATGACAGAGATGGTTTAGAAAAAAGTGCAAGTTTTCTCTCCTGGTCATGTTTACTTGGATTAGCAATATTCCAAACTCTAAAATGCCTTCTCTTTTATACCTTGGGGAGATTTTTCCAGAAAAATGAAGCCATCCCTTCATTTAATAGCTGTCATACATGAACTGTATATTTACTGATTTTTAAAAGGTAACATATTTATTATAAGATATCCAAAAAATAAGAGAAATTATTTAAAAGATTAAAAACCCTAACTCTACCACTCAGCGAGAACTATAGCTAACTCTGTGCTCACCTTGTCCCCGGCTCTTTTGTCCTCTATGCATATGTACCTTAAACTTCTCAGACAAGGTACCGTCTTCTCCAAAAGTGCTCAGTGAATTCTGGTAAAGGAAGAGCTGATCTACTTTAAGGACTACTTCAGAATGTGGATGCCTGTCCATTTCCATTCTAACAGCAAGCAAACAATGTTTGTTGTCAATTTTTACAAGATGGTCAGACTTTACAGGATCTACATTTTGACCACCAGGAGCAAAGGTGTATTGATAGGAGTTAGAAAAACAGCTGCCTGAGCACAGGTTGCCCTCTGTGTTAAAGAGAGAAACTCTCCTATTGTACTACAGCCTACCAAATGATATTTTATATCAAATCAGGAAAAAGATTCTCTCTGAAGTCTGAATTACATACACTGTTAGAATTAATCACAGAAATTAGTTAATTTGCTGAATGTGGTTCTTTGTTTATGCTGATTAAAATGGGTTAAGAGCACATTAAACAATTTCCTGTTTGCCATCTATTCTATTTGCCAATGTGAGTCCTTCCCAAAGATTATATTAGTTTAAGATGCCAAAGTGAACTGTGCATTAGCATTTGGTGAAAGATATACCATCAAATATGTACTACAGAGTGAGGGAGGGAAAGAGATGAGGAGATGGGGAGATGAGCAGAAAGTACATTCCTTTTCAGAGTGAAGTTCTTAGATAAACAGGAAAGATCTTTTCTTAGACTAATTTTGAAAGAACTGGGAAAACCAATCTCAAGACAGTTCTTTTGAAAGCTATGAAAGTTAGGGGCCAGGCTAAAGTATAGTCCTTTTTAACTATTTAGATTTAATATTTATATATAAGATTAATTTATACTATAATTCTTAGAATTTAAGCTTCATTTACAAATGAAGTTTTGCTTTCAAATTTTGTCTTTTACTGTAAAAATAAGATTTGTTTTATAGACAGAAGGTTGCATACCTTTCAAAAATACTTCCTTAAATTCAACATGCTTAATATTATCCATAACCATATATAAATTAGAGTAACCCCTCTTTGCAGGGTTAAGGCTGAAAATATTTATAAACTCAGGTATGTTTGTGAACATTGTGACGGAAAAAAGGATGTGGGTGTGGAATAGGGCCTTACCACTATGGACAACTCCAGTTAAGCTGTTATCTTTTAAAATATTACTATTAAATCTTTGTATATATCAAAAAAGTTAGGATGGCTGAAGTCCAAAACTCTATAAATTCATAATCATGAGCATAAGGTACCTCCCATAAGGTCACAATATGTTTTCTTTTGTAGCTGTTACATATACCATAAATAAGTTATTCCTGACATCTGTAGAAAGGATGGATTGCATGCAAAACAACCACAAAATAGAAGTCTAGTATGAAGAAAGCATTACATGTCTCTGCCTTGATTCTGTCCTGTTATTTGCATAATTGGTAATCAGTAATTGGAGCAACTTGTGTACAGGAACAACCACAGCAGAGAGTCTTCTGTGGCTTGTGTTAATCTAAGTTCTCTCACTAGATCAATTTTTGTGAAAAATTCTATTTTGAAGTAAAATTACAATATTAGAAAAGAAAAAGCTTTCTCAACTTGACTTTCTTATATTTTAGCCTTAATTTCTCACCATTTTACAGAGGCTAAGAACTCCTAAAAGAGGGTAATCTTTTTCATTACAACATATTGCTACTATCCATGGTACAAATAATATCATTTCCTCCAATATAAGATGCATACACCCCTCAAAACATCTCATAAGCATTACACTGGGACAACCCATTATATGATCACAACATTTGAGCAACATATTTGATGTCTAGAAGTCATTAAAGATAAAATTTAGTCTTACATATATGGAGCATTGCACCTATTCTCTTTGCATCTCCAGGAACAGTGACACTGACAGGCAAAGAAGGGCATTCACATATATGTAAAATACCTGGTACAGAATCCATTTTCCCTAGAATTCCCAAGGGGCACTGCCACACTCTGTCGGGGAAACTCTTGTTTAACTAGAGCTGGCAGGCTCCAACACTGTGAGCTGTTGGCACCTGTGGCAGGAGAAAAGCCCAGCAAAATCTGTTTCTGAAGCAAGGATGTGTCCAATACTGATGGCCCAACATCAGGCATTAAATCCCAGCAAGGAAGGGAGCTGGATTTTATAGCCGGCTGCTCTCCACCTGGGCAAATGCTGAAAGTAGCACTGTCCGGAATGTGAAAATACTGGAAAAAGACAATACAGAGAGGGCACACTTACTACAACAATGCAGCCAAGTTAAGTTTTAAAAGCATAGATTCTAAGAAACCATATTCAAGTTGGCAATGTGGGAATATCAGCACAAGAAAGCCCTAATGAAACAGTGAAAGCAGTGGAAGCAGGGTCTGCTTTGCTGCACATGATAGAGTTGGGGTGATTTAAAAAGATGATGCATAGTTCTTTCTCCCAGGTATTGCAAAAATCCCCATGATACTGGCGTAGAAATGTCATGTGCTGGGGAGGGAGTCCCCTTGGACAGATAGGTATGGCTACACTGAAATGGTGTGGTGTGGTGGCAGATATTAGGAAAACAGATCTGAATAACATTCAGAACAGGAAACTGGGAGTTCAGAAGACAAATTTTATGTAATGCTCATCCTGAGGGAGGAGCAAACTCTGATTGAATTTTACACTGTTTCTGGCATTAGAGTTGCTGAATTTTAGACTTCAAAAGGACCTCAAGGGATAATAATATATTTCAATAATATATAATAAATAATATATTTGAATTTCCTATTTCACAGCTAAGGAAGCTGTTTGTTTTTGTTTTGTTTTGTTTTGGTAATGGGGATTGAATCCAGGGATGCTTAACCAAATCCCCAGCCATTTTATTTTGAGATGGGGTCTTGCTAAGTTGCTTAGGGCCTTGTTAAATTGCTGAGACTGGCTTTGAATTTACAATTCTTCTGCTTGAGCCTCCTCAGCCACTGGGATTACAAGTGTAAGCCACTGCGTCCAGTAGGAAGCTGCTTTTGACTGAGCTGATGACTTATCTGTCCAATAGCACAAAGCCAGGAAGTGACACAGCCCTGCCAGAAGCCAAGTTTCCTGCTTCCAGTCTGGGTTTTCCCACTGTTCCACACTCTCTAAGAGACCAGGGATTACCATGCCTCTTGAAAAATCCTAGACCTGTCTGAAGCAGAGTCATTGTTGGAAAAGGGGACACTTCTCAGCTATAGGGGCAAATTGAGTCTTTCTCTTCTTCCAGGAAGCCAAGGCAAATGGGGAGTCCTGGGTGATGTTGATGCTGCAGATGCTGCTGGCTACAGTCATTTACTGAGCACCTATCCCTTTTATTTACATTAATTTATTTAATCCTCATAAAACCTACAAGGAATACAAAATGATGCCCATTTTAAAGTTGAGGAAATGCAGGCTGGGGCTGTGGTTCAGTGGTAGAGCACTTGTCTAGCATGTGTGAGGCACTGGATTCAATCCTCAGCACCACATAAAAATAAATAAAATAAAAGTATTGTGTCCATCTACAAATAAAAGTATTTTAAAAAAATGAGGAAATGTCATCTGGCCCAAAGTCTTGGGAAGCCCTAGAGTGAGAAGTAGGACAATTACCTAGATGAAGGCTAATTATCTTGTCAAAGCAAATGTTGTTGACCTCTATTCTTTTTTCTTAATATTTATTTTTTTAGTTGTAGTTGGACACAATACCTTTATTTTATTCATTTATTTTTATGTGGTGCTGAGGATCGAACCTAGGGTCCTGCATGTGCCAGGTGAGCGCTCTACCACTGAGCTACAACCCCAGCCCCTTGACCTCTCTTCTTAACTGGACAATAACTGGGTACTTCTGGCCACCTATTTATTTTTATCAATGAACTAGGATGAAATTGTATTGTTCCACTTTTTGTAAATACCACAATACACTGTCAACTAAAAACAAGTGTACTATTTTATCCTAATCGATCCTTCTAATACAATTTTTAGGAACAGAAAGTAAGGGGTAATAATAACTGCAAACAAAGGTAAAGAAAGATAATGCTTTTTTATATGATAGTTTCATTAACATAAAATAGCTGCATACTACTTGGCATACTCTAAGTTTTTTTTTTTTTTAATTTCTCCTTACTTTCTTTTTCATTGAACAAAGAGCCAAGTCAAAAACTCCTCTCAACATTCCCAGATGTATTTTCTATGTGTTTTGCCATTGAGATGTTAACATAAACAAGCTGGTACATTTTCACATTCACTCTTTGTGTGAACACAAAGCTCATTGCCCCAGATCTGTGGCTCGGTTCGGTTCTCGCCCTCCGTCCACACCAGCAACTCAAACCAGTTCCTCAGCTGCTGCAGCCTGCGGGACAGATGTGTTTTTTTTTTTTTTTATGCAACTCAGAGCTGGTCCTCAGGCCCACTGCTTTACCAGTGGGGGTTCATTGAACCTGTGAGAGGACCATGCTGGAACCTCTGAGCAGATGGAGTGCAGGCAGAACTAATCCAGCAGTGTCAAGATCTGTTGTTTTTTTGGATTTCTGCCCATTAATTACAGAGCAACCATGGCTTTAATTACAGCCAAATAAGTGGATTTCTCTTTACCTATATTCAGTTCTAGCCTTCTTTGCCCTAGGCTATAAAAAGTTGATCCTATTTGTTGTTAATTCATCAAAACATAGACAAAACCATTATGTTATGAATTGCTTACCTCTTTTCCAGAATGGGGTTTGGAGACAGATAACTGTGGTTTATAAAATATCTGATACGGTGTGTTATTGATTACTGTAGTCTTGTCTTCAATCTGAATAATCTGTATACCTTGCTGTACCATAGAAGAAATGCAGAACTGACACAACTGTAAGATAATCGAGGAAAGGGCAATTTTTACAACATTATAAGGCATATGATTATTCTTTTTTTTTTTTAAATATTTATTTCTTTTAGTTATTGGCGGACACAACATCTTTGTTTGTATGTGGTGCTGAGGATCGAACCCGGGCCGCACGCATGCCAGGCGAGCGCGCTACCGCTTGAGCCACATCCCCAGCCCCAAGTATGATTATTCTTTAAAGGTTATTTATCTATTGCTTTGCCCACGATAGTACTAGTTTACCTTTTTCCAGAGTACTTAATAGCATCCTTTCAGTCTCCAAAATGCCCTGGCCAATACAAGGCAAGAGTTGACAGCAAAGTACTTTAGCAAGCCAGTTACTTGTGCTACTGTTGTACGGTATAGACAAGAGATTTGTTTTCAGATTATTTCACAGATTACTTCATACAATATTTATAAAGCACTTATACATAAACAAATTCCTACTCATCTTACTCAACAGGATTCAATTCAGCAACCCTTCTCCTCACAAGTACCACAGCAGTGACCTCACAGAGTGCCTTTAAAAGTGACAATGAAGTGACTTTAAAAGTGACAATGAAGATGAAGGAAACAATATGACAGACCTTCATGTATTGCTATATCATGCACCCCACCTGTTTTAAGTAATTTATGAATATTAATTCACAAATTCCTACATATAGTAACAATATAGGGTGATTTCTATTATCCCCATTTTACAGAAGATGAAAGTAAGATGCAGAGGTTCAGCATTTGTCAAGGTCTGGCTGGGCTGGAACCTACATGGTCTGGCTCTGCAGTGCTGCTCCTCACCAATATGTGCACTGTTCTCCTTGCACTCCTGCATCCCATGTGGAACTGATGCTTGGAGGGATACCTGCCTAAGGATAGCTGTCCAGTAAGTGGCAATCTCAGAGCAGCAGTCCTCAGAGGGTGGCTAGAGCTTATATGGAGGATCTCCAGAAAGGGGTATTAAGTTCAAAACTAAATTTATAATAATACTGACATTATATTTTTCTTTTCACTTTACTTTCCTCATGAGCATATGGTGGAATTTCCCTGAGGCTATTATGACATACCATGTCACAACTCTGATGGCTAATGGAATATGTTTAAATTCTTGTGTTTAAAAAATTTCTCTTAATTTACAATCTGGTAAAATCTGATAGAACCCATAGAAACAAAAGGTCTTTGCGGGGGTCCCCAACAATTTTTAAGCATATAAAGGAATCCTGAGACTGAAATGTTTGAGAGTTATTACTAAGAATAATTGAACATCACTATATATTCCAATAGTTAGTTCATTCATTCATTCATTTGCAAGTATTTATTTAGCACTTGCTGTGGCTACTTTGTGAGGTGCTAGAGGTATTGGGTGTTTGCCTATATTGTGTAACATTTTTTTCCAGGTTTTGATGGCAGTTCTCAACTTACAACTATTCAACTTTGGGTGATTCATGCTTACAGCTCTTTGCCATTTACACCCATGTTACAGCACTTTGGCAGGCAGGCAGAACATAAACATATGTTGCCCAGACAACCTTGAGGAAATGGATACCAGCCTTGAACACTGAAGAAAGACCAATTTCTTGTTTCAGGGAAATTTGTTTTTTAAAAAATGACCAAAGAACCCTAACTTTTCTTAAAAGACTCTTCAAAGATGCTCAAAACAACTTCTTCCCAAAGAAAGGTCATCCTGAATTCTACTATTCTGATAAAGTACCCCTTCTCCTTCTCATTTGGGATAGCTAAAATAATGAAGATAATTTTAAGTACAGCAAGAGACTTCCACATGTCACACTAGATATTATTCGTTCATACATACAATTTAATGTGATTAGTTGCTATATTATTCATCTAATTAGTTTTCATAGACTTTAGATTTATGCTGAAAAGCACACACCATTTGTATTTATCTAAATAACTACTTAAATATTTTTGTTTGTTTGTGTGTGTGTGTATGTGTACATTCTCTAAAAACATGGGCACTAGTCAACTGTTGAAGAACTGTTGAAGTCCTTCAGTTGAAAACGTCTTATAGGAATTCCCTCTTAAAACATTGGTTCTACGGGGAAAACAGAATTGGTCCACATCATTTTGCTCAGGATGCCCTTTGCAGGAATATGACCTCTGCTCTAGGAGGCTTTGTTCTTTCACTCAATGCTTAGAATGTTAGCAACTTTACTTCCTGGTCTAAAAAAGGAGGCCAAGTACAATTTGTAGATATTTTGGAATAAGTTCATTCCCCTTCACATACTATATATAAATCAAGTGACTGCTGAGTGTTCTGAAAAGAGCAGTTATTGGATAAATTATGTGACACAACTTTTATCATTGGTAAAGGAAAAATATATTGTAAAACAGAAGTCTAAGAAATTAAGAAATAAAGTATTTTACTGCTATGTATTATTTAGAATATGTAATACCAAAAAGGGGTTAAAAAGAAAAGGTGGGTTTATATTAAATAGCTTAAGGGGATGGCACATTTGATTTGAGCCAAATCAACTCTGTCCTTACCTTCTGATGTCCTGGGAAAGCACCAAGTCTTATTTCAGCATCAATAAACCCTTCTTCGTCCAATGTCACGACTTCACCATTACCTCCATCTTTCCACTTTGGAGATGTCAGGTTATGGACTAGTTTAATTGCTACTGACTTGTGCACAGTGTTTGTATTTGCCCAATATATTCCAATCTGAAAAGCTTCCTGGAAAAATAATGCCTTAATTATAAAGTAATTTTTCTTAACTTTGGTATGTTTTTAAATCTCAATCCACAGGATCTTTTCTCATATGATATAATAGGTCCATTAAAGCAACCAAATATCATTCCACTTTTTTTTATAATGGCAACATATATTTTATCTTTGTTCCTAATGTTAATTTTGATTCACAATGAAATTCATATTTATGGACAGGAGAAACAAAACAAACTTGAGATGTGACTACCCTATAAATACCAAGTCTTAAAGACTGAAGGTTTCATCTCACTTGACAAGAGAATAACATGCAATAATAGGTCCATACAGGTCAACATTCCAATTCTATAAGGTAACAGTATTTGATTATTAAAAAAATGAAAAATGCAATTGAATAAAGATGTTTAGGGACTGGAATGCAAAAAAAAAAAAAGAAAAAAAAGAAAAAGGACTCTGAAATTGTTTTCTATTAGGAAAATATTTTATTTAAGAGTTACTTTATTTTCTCAGATTTATGTCTATTTGAAATGATCTATCCTTATAAAGTTAGTTTTATAAATTAGAATACAAAATCTTCTGAAATTTTTATCTTGTGATTAGGTTTTTCTACCTGTGTCACTAATAATTCCATGTTGTTTTAATTAATAACTGGATAATCCTTCATAATTATGGACATACAATTATGGACATATAAAGGAAAAGGAGCCTGACAAAAATGGTGGTTCAGAAATCCTCCATACCTCACAGAATTCACAGAATTTAAGAACTGCAAAGATTATCAAGGGGATGGGTTAGCATATAGTACAACTCTGTATCCTTAACACACTGAGAGATCAATCTTAATACTTGTCAAATATCCCGCACACAATAGAAATGAGTATGTAATTAGTACAGGTTATCCAAATTTAATGATAACTCAACCATGAATACTGCTGATAGGGGGGGAAAAGACATCTGAAAAATCTCTGAATATCAAAGAACATTCCAGACTCCTTATGTATATATCTGTGAGGACAGTTTTCCACAATGGATTCATTCCGTTAAATCATAAATGCAACCTCAGAATAAAATCTAGTTGTTGAGAGAGAAGAATTATGTTAGTTTCAAAAGTTATAGTACCTGAAAATTAGGAGGAATAATAGTTTTGCTAGCAGGAACCTGTAGAACAATCTTCTCTCCTTCAAACAGCCAGAGGTCCCACTTGGACTGATTGATAAGCAGGGCCCAGGGCAGAAGTTCTATCAACAAAGTTCTAACATATGGCTTCCAGATCGACAGCTTCACTCGCATTGGGCTATCCCACTGACTCAGCTGTTCATTCCTGTTCCAAATACCACATCCAAGAGACTCAATTAAATATGATGACTTCAGTATTCATGAAATACGTTTAAGGATTCCAGACACACAATGCTCCTGTAGGGTACCTCTTCACATCAGTCATTCAATGCTGAATTTGCAAGCAGGAAAAGCAACTTTTCATGCAATTATGTTGTATATTATGAGTAAATATATATATAAATGTACCTACTAGATGACAAAAGATCAGAATCTCACAAATACATGCAAATACATTTTTCACACTATTTATGAGATCTTAATATTTTTGTGAACAGTCATTTCTTAATATATAAGTGTGTATAGAAAAAGATAGCTGAAGACTATTACCTGTCAGAATCCTTCTTAATATAGGGCCATGTGGGTTCGAGAGATTTTTCTGGCCCATAGAATTCATCAAGGATCTGATTAACTGTACCTCCAGGGTGTATCTTAGTGGCTATTTGTTTAATTAGGGCTGTTGAGATGGGGACAGCACAATCTGAAGGGTCATATTCTTCTCTAGAAAATGTAAAAAAAAAAGTGTTAGATTTCTAAGTGGTCTACAATTTATTAAAAAAACCCTAAAAATGTACTATGAATCATACTTTTAGGCGAGATTGAGTCCATTTTCAGTGATTTAGGAAAGTATGATAGTTTTTGGATGATTTGGGCCTTGGCCTTTCCTTCTCACTTGACCCTGCTTGGGTGAGATCTCAAGTCATGCCTTCTTCCACTACAGAAATCATGTGTCAGTTAAATTTAAACTAAATTATATTTTCTGATGACCTCTCCTGATTGGCTCTTTCTTTCTCTTGTTTTGAGTAGTAACATTTTTATTATAAGGGAATAATACACACTTGAGAATGGGAGAGTGGGCAATCATATGGAAGGAAGAAAAGAGGGCAGAGAAGAGGGTGAGAAGAGGGAGAGAGAGGAAGAGAGGACGAAAGCGGGAGAAGGGCAGGGGAGACACCCAAAAAACAAAACTCTTATTTCTAATCTTGATGAGAAAGGATGAATTTTATCTAAAACTATAGAGGAGGATAAGAGAATAAGAAAATACTAGGCAGGGTAATTTAAAATAACATTCTCCTAAGATAAAAATTCCATTCATGCTCCTCCAGCCCCCAACAGTACAAGGTTAATTTTCTACTGAATTTCTCTTAGGAATATAAAAAAATGTATTTTGCTAATACCTTGCTTGAAATGTTAGGTGATGTACAAGATCAGGTTCTATGTTTTGCAGTGGTTTTTCCTGCCCTCTTCCTGGAATAATCTGTGTTTCATTCAATCCCAGACTCCTTTTCTCCAAATGTATGATAATGGGGTCTGGAAGATGACTTCTCATGATAAAAAGAGGGCTGAACACAATCTATAAAAATAAAAGGACAGAACAACTTTCATATTTGCTTTGTTGCAGTATTCCAGCTGTTTGATGCTGAAACAAACTTGTAATAAATCTCTTCCCTGGGTCACTGTGACCTTAATTTATTTCAGAACAGGAAAGGTCAGAGTCATATACCATATTTTAGGATTGGGAAAGCACTCACCATTCGTTGTTGCACTTGAGAGTTGGGTTCTAAAGTCAAAACTGTACACCAGACATAAATAATGGAACTGTTTGAAGATGGCACCTGCACATGAGATAGCAGAGGATTCTATTAAATACTGAACTGCTTACTCATTAATCAAAATAAGACACAGATATAATATCAGTTTGGATGATAAAAAATAATTTCAAGTTAGATAAAAAGCCACCAAAAACAAAAACAACTATGCAAAAACAGACTTCATCATGGCATAAAGCAAATGCACAGTGGATCGATGGGGCCAAGTCTTTCCATAAAGAACATTTCAATTTTAAAGCTGCTTTATTTTAGATTCTCATCCCTGGATCTCATATTCTCATTCTCATACCTGGATGACAATGCTATACTCAGAGGCTTTGGATTCTAGGCACACGTCTCTTGACCAGTCTTCATCTCCTTTGGCCTTCACACACAACTCTGTCAGTTCACTGTTTTCTAATATGTACGAAGGTAATTTTTGTTTGGCTGTGAGGCAGTCAAAATGTTCTCGAACTACAGCTTGTCCATCTTGTCCAATATAATGCTGAACGACTTTTAGTTCTATGCTTTGAGACAAATAACTACAGATGATCTGTCTTCCACAGATGATAATCTAAAAAACAATTTAAAAATACAGAAGGCTTCATGAATTCAGATTTCATTACATGTAATCATTTAGATAGATATGTTTATGTTAATGAAAAACAAATGAAGTAATTAGTTTAATATAAGAAAGAAAAGAGACTTAAAGGAAAGAATTTTGTTCTGTCATGTTGAGCTGTCAATACATAAAGGAGAGACTCATAGGCAGGGTCCAGTGCCCACCCAGAAATACTGACCAGGTGTGCTCTAGAGAGAAGATGAAACCAGAGACAAATATTTGTGAAAGAAAAGCTGTGCAAATATGCATTGACAGGGGATAGTTCACTTGAAGGAGAGGGTGCAAGCTCAACTCCAGAAATTGATACTGTAGGGACAGACTCAGGGTGAGAAGTCAGAGAAGGGGCCAGATGAAAAGGGGTGAGGAAGGGTAGAGGTGAATCAGGAGAAAGTAGGTTTGCTGAAGCCATGATATAATATTAGTTTGGATGATAAAAAATAATTTCAAGTTAGATCAGAAGGTGGTGATTAATCTCATCAAATAATGTATAAGATGAAAAAAATGGGAGTTGAAAGTAAGCATTAGCTCTGGTAACTGAATGGAAAATTGTGGTCTATCTATACTTTGAAGCTGATTTCTTATAGTTTATTGTACTCTTATCCAGGAAGAGATATCTGAATACACTACTACAAATGATCTTTGACTGAGATACCCCATTATATTTTACTTTATTCAGTTTTTTTCTACATTGTAGAAGTATTTTAACTTTATAAAACACATAGAATTACCCATTAAATTCTCAGACCTAACTTTGTATCTGGACAAGAGTATAGTTTATAATGGATATTAAGAAATGTTTCTTAAATTGGTTGAAATTGAAAAGATATTGGAAAATTTACTCTTATGTAGTAAATAATTTTAGAAAGCAAATACTTCTGTAATAAGTATTCACCATGGTTATACAAACAGAACTAGTTCACAAACTACATTTCATATTTTTAATATTTTTATAGATTATAAAATAATAACTAATACATATAGTATACTAAAAGGTCTAAACATGTGATGATTAACTTTAATGTGTCAACTGGGCTATATTTTTATTTTTTAAAATATTTTTAAGTTGTAGATGGACACAATACCTTTATTTATTTTTATGTGGTGCTAAGGATGGAACCCAGTGCCTCACACAACTGGGTTATATTTTTAATCAAACATTATTCTCAATGTGTCTGTGGGGATGTTTGTAGATGACAATTACCTTTGAATTGGTAAACTGAATAAAAACAGATTGCCCTCCCAATGTGAGAACATCACCCAGTCAACTGAAGACCTAACAAACAAAAAATGCTTATAGAGAAGGAACTCATTCTGTCTTACTACTTGAGTCGGGACACTGGTCTTTTTTGGTCTTTGACCTTGAACTGTCACATTGGCTTTTCTTGGGTCTTGAAATTGCTAGCTTTTGGACTAGCACTTTTGCCACTGGCTCTGCTGGTTCTCAGGCCTTCAGACTTAGACTGGAAAATGACCTATCAGCTCTCCAGCATACTGACTGCAGATCTTTTTACTTTTCTGTCTCTGTAATCATGTGGGCCAAGAGATAATTAATCATTCCCCCACACACTGCACATGCTATATTGGTTCTGTTTCTCTGGAGAACCTTATATAGAAAGTATTTCCCAAATTAACCTATTTATTCTATTCTCACAGCAACCTTATAAAGTAGGTGCTATTATCTCTCTCCATCTTAACAAGTAGAAAAACCACAGGCACAGAGATGTTGAATAACTTGCAAGTTGGTACCCAGAAAATCTGGCCTAGAATCTGTGTTGAAGATCACTTTTGATAGTCTGTCACTCATAAAATTAATACCTATTCATAAGAAAATTTAGATTCCCAAGGAAAGAGGGTAAAGGCTGATCACCATAACACAAATGTGGCAGATGTCATTGGGTTCCCTTTCCATAGCTGGTCCTTCTTTACTCCTGCTGTTAAAAACTGATTTGGTCTAGGTATCAAAAGATAGTCAAGCACTCAGGGGAGGTGGATATCTCCCTTGAACTTTGGAGGCTGTACTGAAATGGGTAAAAACTAATTCTGGTAAATCCATTCCCTCTTAACCAATGATTACCTTAGTGGTAAATGTGTTTTGGCTAGTAATATGAAAAGGAAAGATGGCAAAGGCTTGGAGAAGATTTTACTCCTTGAAAGAAGGGAGACAATTTGAGAAGAGAAAGTTCTCTGTTATGGAAGATATTATAAGAGGATGTACATCTTGAGATCAGAAAGGCACATCAGAGGATGGCAGAGAAGCAGATACAGTACTGAGGTGCGGAGGTCACCAATACCAAACCCACCTTCTTCCTTCTTTTGATGTGAAACAAAATGTACAAAATAGGAATAATAATAATAGGATCTACCTCATTAACTTGCTATGAAGATTAAAAAGTATATATTTGTTCAAATTTTATGAGTTTATTACATCTTTTTTAAGATAAAACATTTGGAAAACAACTATATTGCAAATAACTTGTATTCAGAATATACAAAGAACTCTTAAAATTCAATAATAAGTAACCACCTAGCCTTTTTTCTAAGTGGAAAAAAAAATCTGAGCCTTTTCACTAGAAAAGAAAAACAGGTAACAAATAATCATATGAAAATGTTCAATATTATTTGCTATCAGAGAACTGCAACTCAACACAAGATAAAATTTTGTCTCTACATACTTTTAGAATGACTGCAATCCAAAAAGAAAAATACTAACTGCTGCCTAGGATGCAGAGCAACAGAAACTCTTTTTTAAAAATATTTTTAAAAATTGTTTCTTTTTAGAAATACATGACAGTAGGGTATATTTTGACATATTATACATACATGGAATACAACTTCCCATTCTTGTGGTTGTACATGATGTGGAGTTACACGCCTGGTATATTCATAGGAAAGTTATGCCATATTCATTCTACTGTCTTTCCTATTCCTATCTCCCCTCCCTTCCCTGCATTCCTCTTGTCTAGTTCACTGAACTTCTATTCTTCCCCTCCTGCCTTTGTTGTATGTTAGCATCCACATATCAGAGAAAACAGTCAAACTTTGTGTTTGGGGAACTGGCTTATTTCTCTTAGAATAACAGACTATAGAGCCATCCATTTACCAGCAAATGTAATAAAGTCATTCTTTTCTATGGATGAGTAACACTCCATTGTGTATGTATACATTTTTTTTTTTTATCTATTCAACTGTTGAAGGGCACCTAGGCTGGTTCCATAGCTTAGCAACTGTGAATTGAGCTGCTATATACATTGCATTATAAACATTGATATGGCTGCATCACTGTAGTATGCTGATTTAAAGTTCTTTGGGTATATACCAAGGAATGGGATAACTGGGTCAAACAGTGATTCCATTCCAAGTTTTCCGAGGACTCTCCATACTGCTTTCCAGAGTAGTTGCACCAATTTGCAGTCCTATCAGCAATGTATGAGTGTACCTTTTCCCCGGCATACTCATCAGCATTTATTGTTACTTATATTTTTGACAATTGCCATTCTGACTGGAGTGAGATGAAATCTCAGAGTAGTTTAAATTTGCATTTCTCTAATTGCTAGAGATGTTAAATATTTTTTCATATACTTGTTGATTATTCATATTTCTTCTTCTGTAAAGTGTCTATTCAGTTCCTTTGCCCATTTATTGACTGGGTTATTGGAAAAAGCATATTTTATAAACATAATTAGTTGATACTTTTCCCATGTCATCAAGAGTTCTCTGTGACCATCTTTTTAAATGAGCTATTGTTTACACAAATAAATATGATTATTTTTGAAGGAACTATTATTTATCCAAAAGAAACCTACTAGATTGATAGATCAAAAATGAAATGTCATTTTTGTTCTACCTTGTGCCATTTAAATACTGGGATTCAGTATTTTCTTCAATATTTATTTTCTAACTATCCATTCATTTGCATTTTCTTTAGGAGCACATGTTTAAAACCAAGCTACATTTCACTGTTATACTTCCCTTAGACATGAGAGCCATTATATCTTTTGAAACTATGTTTTCAAAATAATAAACTAAAAGTCTATGAGCCCTAAATTAGCAGGCAAGCTTTTCTTTAGCATATGCTAGGGATTACTAGACACTCAAGAAAAAGTCTTGTGATGCCATAACAACACCTAACTTTAAATAAGCATTTGAAAACTTGGAGGCAGTATTTAACTCTGTTTTTATTCTTGATATGCTAAGCCTGGCAACATGTGTGCACCACTCTTGCCTTACAACCTTTGGACCCCAGGAGATTTAGAAGAGAATTTTGCTGTCTCTCACAGAAACCACAGACTATCTGCAAGCATCTGGGTCTCACTTTGTTTAAAGACAAAGATCCTCTTGGTGGGTTTTTATAGTTTCATTTTCAACTAAAAAGCCTGTTAAATAGGCTTTCAGATTTGATAAAAAGAACATCTTTACAAGTGGCCAGGGAGGGAAGACTACTGGGATAAAGGACAATCCAAAATGGCCACTCCTCTGAGTGGTGCTCTTTCATGGTTGTGGGTTCAGGAGAGTTCTGTCTGCTCTTCTTCAAAGTGGCCAACTTATAATGCTTTTATTTTGAAAATTATGGTTAGAATTTCAAGATTAATTTATCAGTTGAAGACAGCTACTTACTTTTTTTTAATGTAGGGTTTCTCTTTAATACATATTTCCAGCTTTCACACTAATTCCCCTGTTTTACCAAAGCCACAAAGATGAGCATTGAAGATTTCCACATATGATTTTACTTAGCAGGTTTCAGAACTCTTATTAGATCAGTGCCAAGAATAGTGATATTAAAGAATAACTCCAGAGTACCAGATGCACTGGAAAATGATATCTTATCCATGATTAAAAGTATGTGTATAAAGATGCAAATATACATACATTTGGGCTTTTAGAGTGGTGAAGGTTTATTCAATGAAGGCCTGGGAAACACAGAAGCAATGTGTACATGAGTAGTCATATAATGTATAAAGGTCCTGGGAAATTTTATATGTGGTCAATTTTGATTCAGTTGTGGGAAATGAGAGGAATATAGGAAAGGCAGAGTACAGATAACAAAACTTCAATGTTAAAAAGAGCTTTAGCCAACTCTCCATTATCCAGGGGCATATTAATGTGGTTAAGGTACATGCACTCACCTCACTAAATAAGTCTTGGTAATTAGGCAGCTGCAGTTTATTGCAAATTTCCAGGCCCAGGTGGAACAGAAGGAAAGAAGCCAAGATGTGAGGGAGGCAAATATCCATGGAGCTCTTCTGAAGCTTGATTCCTTCCTTCCTCCCTCATCTCTCCATCTGAGGAAATCCTATGTCTCTCATGTACTTTAACTAGACCTAATCTGGATGTTAAACTACCCTGACAATAAAAATTAAATCCAATTGGAAAAGACATTTAAAATTTTTGCTTGTGTGTGTGTGAGTGAGAAGGAAGAAGGAGAAGGAGAGAGGTAAAATTTTGTGAGAAGTTTTTAGAAATGTGTTTTTTAATTGACCAACTACTTTGACATTTGATTTACTGTTGCATTGTGTAATATCTGTGTAGAAACATCATATTAATTTATCCCTGAAACTTAATATAATTCCTTGAAAATACAGATCTATGCAAGAATGAGGTGCTACTGTAGGTTAACACCAAAAAGTCCAACTAGTCCATTCTCATGCCTGAGAATATATTTCATTATAATAATTTTAATTGAAGTTAACTGGACTATGAGTGAGTTGGGCACACTGTAAGTACTCTGTATACACAAACTCATTTAATGTTCACACTAACTTCCTAAGGAAGCCACAATTACTATCCTTATTTTATAGATAAAGAAACTGCTTCAAAAAAGGTGAAATGATTTCCTTAAGATCACACAGTCAGCAAGGGGATACAGATGGGTTACCTAGGATCTTAATTGCTAGGATATAACACTAAAACCATTTCTTGGCACCATTTCACTAATTAGTAAATGTTCTAGCAATCACATGGAGAAGAACTGAAGAAACTGTGGTCCCTGGATCAGCAGAATCTGCCATCACTGGGAACATGTTAGAAATACAGGCCACTCCTAAGATCTACTGGATCTGAAACTCTGGGGGAGGGATCCAGCAATCTGTGTTTTGATAAGCCCTCCAGGGATTCTTATGCGCAGCTGAGAGAGAGAAGCCTGGGCCTAGAGACAAAGAAAACATGCTAGCCCCCTTCACAGTTTGAAAGACCTGAATATAGAGGTGAGTTGTCCTTATTACAAGGTGTTGTGTCTTGGCTGTATACACCTCACAGTTCTGAACAATGCTAAAAGCTTGTGGAATGGTGAAAGGTTTTGGTAAAATTTGGGAAGAACTTTCTAACAGTTGGTAGAAATCAACAACAGAAAGGGCTGTGGATGAGGGGATGGGCTCTCATCTGAATTCTTCAAACAGAGGCTAAGTGATCATTTCTCAGACATGCTAGTGAATGAGAAGGTAGATGAGGCATTTCCAAAAGAGCACGAGTGGAGAATCTGAACCCCAGTTGTATTTGTTGAGCAGGTCTTTACTGAGTGAACACCAAGTAAGAGCACTCTAGGACTGATGGCAGTCAGGGGCACTTCCAGCTCTTTCAACTAGCTCAAAGCTCACACTAGTAGTTTGGTCTCCCATGAATCCTTCAAAAAGATCCATAAGATTCATTTATCCCATCTTTGTGTCATTTTTTTATGATATATCATCTGCTTGGGATGTTCTTTCTTAATCTAAATTCTAATATTTCCCAAGTTCTAGCTTAAGTTATATCTTTTAGTAAAACCTCTGCTTACTCTCAATTGTATACATGGCTGAATTTACATACATTTGCAATTTTAGAGCAAAGATTGTGTCACATACTTGGTGTCTTTCACTTTACTCTGTTTCACATCTTAAGAACTGTAGGTGACCAATACATACTCTGAGAAATGACATCTAATCGAGAAGAGTCTTCACACTTCTTCTCTGGACTCCTCTGCTATAGTTCTCTTTTCATTTTTGCTGGTCATATTAATGGAATATGAAGCCCTCTCTCTGATTAGGTGCAGACCAAGAATGTACATGGTTCGGGGCCTACTATTCCTCTCTCTCCAGTTGCTTCCTGCTTGTTTTTGGCACAGGGCAGCAGAAGAACTCCTGCTGCTTGATAAGAGGAGCTCCCCTTTCCAGGGCCCAGTACTGTTTCTATCATGTCCTAGTTCACATACGCTCTGGCTTGACTGCTAGAATCCAGATGCAGATGTATATGTGAAAACTCTTATGACAAATCCAGTTATTATGTGTGTGGTGAAGCCAGTTTTCAGATTTTAATACTTCCTTTTTTTTTCCTTTCTACTCTTGTCATATGCTCCAAGCTTGAAAAACATCTTTTAGAAACCACATTTTCACATCTTAGTAACACAAAAAAAGTGTCAGATACTTTTTTCCCTTCACAGTCTTAGAACTTCAAAAACAGCCAAAAGGAAGTTTTATAAAATACGTAAAAATATGTGCTGAGAGCTGAGGTTTTATATGCCAAGAGTTAGGCTGCAGTGAATTTTTACTGCAGTTAATATTAACTTCTCGAAGAGAAAAGCTTGCTGGAGACCCAGGCTTACCCTGTCACGGGACAATATCACAACACTTTCACACAGCTTCTTCTCACATGCTGCAGAACCAACTCCTGGTTATCCACTGGTGGATTATCTAGGGTCCCCACCACCCCTTCTTCACTTCCATTTCAGTAAAGGCCTTTGGCTATTTCACAGCTCATTAGCACCTCCACCAGAAGGTAGGTGGTGACAGGGAGAAGAGGTGAAACTAAAATCAGTAAATTTTACTGCTCGTTAGCAGCTCTTGTAAAAGATGTGGGACAAGGGGTTTGATACCATCATCATCATCATCATCATGCTCATCAACGAGCATTTATTAGGTGCCCATATGCATGGTTGTAGTAAGCCTAACCACTGTGATATTTTCATTATAAATTATTTACATTTATTTTAAGTTTCATCTCTACTACATCAAATATATGAGATGTCTAGGACATGAATACAAAGAACTTACCTGTTTTTGCACTCCATTGAGTTGTTGAACCTTGATTATGAGTGATGCAGTTCGACCCTTGTACTGAATTGTTCTAATAAACGTCCCAGCGTGGTCCACACTGAAGGGTTCTGACCAACGCCAATTGCCCCAACCTTCAATACAGATGTGCAACAGCTGGAGAGAAAAACAATAATCGTCACAATGCCAAATGTGCCAACAAAAATCTAGTCCTAAAATGAATGTCTCATTGCTGGAAAACCTTTCTATTTCTAATATCTAGCATCTGTTTTCTTTCTAACCTGCATTATTCATCCATTTCTAGCTTATTCCACCAGGCTAAGAATAGAAAATATGCCACATAGAGTCAATGTAGTTTTCCAGATCACATAGTAAAAGGCCTGTTGAATATCTGAGAAAAGACCCATTTCATTCATTTTGGAGGACAATAAGGTTTAAATATGAGATCAAAGAGCCTTGTCTTAACTGATAGGTTTTTTTTTTTTTGGTACTGGGCATTGAACCCAGGGACACTTTGCCATAGAGCTACATCCCAAGTCCTTTATATTTATTATTATTTTTTATTTTGAGACAGGGTCTCACTACGTTGTTTGGCTGGCCTTGAACTTGAACTCAGACTCCCATGTCACTAGGATTATAGGTTGGGTATTTACCACCATTGTCCAGCAGTTTATTCCTTCTTATAGTTAGGTAGTAATAAAAGCTAAGTTTGGTTTGTGGCATTTTATTATTATTATTATTTGGGCACTTGAGGGTAAACTTATTTTTTTCCTCTAATCTTACAGAAGAGTATAGGTTTTGTACACAAAGGATATATCAGGATCAGGGTGTTAACAGTGGGTAGAGGCCACAGGGACATTCAAGCCAATAGGAAGTCTTTTCCTCAGCAAGTCTGCCAAGGCCTACCAGATTTTTCTATGCCAAGTTTGGAGGAGATCACAAGCCTTACAAGGCTGTCATTTCTCTGATCAAATAACTTGGACGTCTTGGAATGTCATTTCTTATGGTCCTGCTATCTGTCTTCTGGAAACATCTCCTTTCTGTAGTGACATGGAATATGCTTATAGTAATCTGAGATGTGTATATAACAGGGGGTACCCAAGGAGATAGGATGTTGAAATGGAATGATAAGATGTTTGTGGAGACTCTGGTTGGCCCCAGTTATTCTGCTGTGTCTGCTGCTATTGAAGGGGCACAGAACCAGAGGAGCCAGTCCAGTGGGCCTGTAGCAGGTGCATGGCATTATTTTTTATCCTAAATTACCATTCCTTATTTTTTTATTTTGATAAAGAACAAAATAGCAATTTGAAGATTTTGTTCATTTAATATACTCTCCTTATGAGATCACAATATCAAATTAGAAATACCTTCAGTATTTTGATGTAAGAGAAAATCTTTGTTCTATTTTTTTTTGCAGTATTTATTTACTGTAACTTTTACAAACCGACTCTCTTGATTCATATTTTAACTTATTCATATATTTTGCCACTTTTGGTACTATCTGGATTTCTTCTGTAGTTATTTAATTTTCCTATTTTGACCCATTAAATACAGCTAAGGAAATCAGTTTATGTGGGCATTCCAAAGTAATAATAATTATAAGTACTTCTTTAGGACATATTTATATGAAAATAACAATGTTCTATCTGTTTTTAAGTCACCCAGTATCATTGGTCATCCAACATGCGTTTTTATGGATGAGTAAGGTGGGGTCCTACCATGAACAAAGTATTTTAAAAAACATAACTTATTACCCTGTCTTTAATATATGGCCCCACTCTGGTTCTTTCCCCACACAATTGCCAGTGATTCTATGAAATCAAAAGCCTACCAGTGATGACTTCTAAAAAGGAAGGCTAATAGCTAAGAAGAAGAAGAAGGAAAAAACAAACAAACAAACAAACTAAAAACCTAGACAGCAAATACCTTCATGGGGAAATAGGGTCTTACATACTCTTTCCAACATAAAAGTACTAGAATATCTTTGATGTTTAAATATAAGTTACAGGGAAGAAAAAAGAATAGCAGTATTTGGAACCGGGTCAGTTTTTTATAGCAGCAATTGGGAATAAAGCTCAGGGCACATACAAAACTAAAAGAAACAAGAAAGTTGTTTTCTTTGGAGAGACTAGTAGCTGGAAACGACAAAAAAATAATGAGGCAAGGTACTTAAGGTCAAGTTCAGCTATATTTTTCCTGAACATTCCATAGACTCTAGAGATAGCTTTAATATACACTATGTAATTTTAATTGAGAACTGTTCACAATTGTATATGAGCTCAATGTAAGATAGCTGCTTTCTCTGTGTACCCAGCTTTTAATAACTGAATGTCACCAAGAGTATGCTGTCAGGTTTTTGCCTGGCAGCTATTTGTTCTCAGAATGTGGGAATAGATTATTTTTTTTATAGAATTATAAACTTTTGATCCATTTGGATTTAGTTCACAAAGAAAAGTTAAGTGGTAGAAAAACTTTTATAACACTTCTCATATGTATCATTAATTGAATATATGTGAAGTTTGGTCATTTGTTTAAAAAAATACCTAAATATTCAGTAGTAATTTGATGTATATAACTTATTAGGAAAGGAATTAAATTCTTAAGAGAGAAATCTGCACAAAGAATTTGAGGACGCTCAGGAGTACTACATTCCTCCTTCTCAGGGTGTAATTAACCCCATGCTTGGGAGCCTATGGCCCTGGGTTTGGGCACTGGATGGCAGTGCTCAGATACTCCCAGACATCAAGTCAGGGTGGGAGGTGGTATTCTTGCTAGACCCACTGACTCACTTTCACTGCTACAGTACTAAAAAAATCTCCATTTAATAACAAATACTCATGTATCTATTTTCATTTCTATACAGAGGGAAATGTAAAATCAGGTACAAAAATGTGAAATTTGTGTTAGACCATTTGATTTTAATGAGATCCCCCCTCCCCATTCATCCAATATATTTTCACTATGTAGGTACTGAATGGAAGGTTACTATGCTAGGCCCTACAGAGAAAATAAGAAGGAAGAGATGTGTTCTTTGTCTCACAAGGCACTTTTGATCTTACAGGGGAAATAAGACAAGGCAAATAATAAACAGGAAGCAGTGGGAGAGGAGCATAGCCCTAGAGTAGTCCAGAAGAGGGAGGGCCTGCTTCAGGGTTTTGTGACTGAGAAAGCTTCATCATTAGCTGGGTCTCACCTTACGTAGGATTTCAACCCACAAAGATGACAGCGGGCTCCTAGGCCAAAGAGACAATATGAAATATGAAAAGAAGAAACCATGCTTAGGGCAAATTCAATAGCCTTAATTGGCTGGATAAATGGAAATGTGGAAAAAAAGAGTGGGGGATAGGGTCAGATAGGTAGATCTGCCTGGTAATTCAGGAATTTGAGGGCAGTCACCGAAGCCTTCAGTTTAGTGAACAATGTACTACCACTACCAGAAGAGTAACTGCGGTATGTGGAGGAAGAAAAATTATAAAAGGATGATAGCAGTGTGGGGAAGGGGAAGGCAATAGGCTTTTTCCTCTTGCCTGGATACTGAGAAATTTTTATGTTCTCTTATCAACTTGGAAATTTTCTCTCACTTTTTATTTTATTTCATTTGTTTTTAGTTTTCTCACCTCTTTAATTTTCCATAAGGCATCAATATTATACTGTCATATATGCATATGTATGTGTATTATAAATGTATTTGCTTTTTTAAAAAAGTAAAGAGCTCTTCTTAGTCTCTTATGTCCAATATAGGCACCAAAAATGTATTTAGAAATTAAATAAAGGCCACAAGTATTTCCCAAGGAAGATCATTAAAAAAGAAAAATCCCTTCTTTCTCTCATATCACATAGCTAACTTTCAATGCACGCCAGCTAATGAAAAGGTATCACCCATGATGAAAGGAAGACTGAACTGTTCCCTCTTTGGGTGGTAGCTGAATTTCTATTAGCAGACCTAGTAAAATATTTAACTCCTCATTTGTTCTAAGCAAGTCTTTTCTTCAGCTTTCCTTCAAACAATAACTTTACTCTTAGAATATGAAGACTTGGAGATTCTGAATAGCATGGTTCTGGGTGGGAATCAGTCACTTTAAATCATGTGTTGGCTATGCAGAGAGGGAAAGATATGGGACAATAACAGGGAAGGAGGAGAAAAGAAATGTAAGTTCACTGGGAGCACTAGAAGACAGCAAGCCTTTCAAAGGTGTTGCCAGTATCTCACTAAGGCCCAGGCTGCCACCATGGTGACAGAAACACTGGCAGCAGCACCATAGCTATGGGAATACCACTTGGCTCCCCTTCAGCTCCATGTCCTATAGGTCCATTCTGCACCTGTAACCTGTGCTGCACTCTCAATGACACAGCATAGCCTGCGTTACCACACAGGGCTACCACATCCCGGTGCAGCAGGTTCTTTAGGTCTTGACCATGTAGCCAGAGGATCTTATCACCTACCCTCCAGGAGCAGCCCATCCAGGGCCGCAACCCCATTCTCTTTGATGAGGCTGAGGTAGATGCCACTGTCTTTAGAGACATGCTGCTGATCTGTCCCACCCACGATGTTGAAGCCCAGCCCTGAAAGTCCTCCCATGAGATCAATCTCTTCCTTGGTGACCAAATAATCCTCTCTTCCGTTCATGTTCTGCTGCTCGCCTGCTTCCTCCTCGGGTCAGCTGGAGCTGTGCACAGGTGAAGGTGAATCAGTCTCAGCCCGGTGTCCCAAGCACAGTCCTTTCAGTTTCCGAAGCATGCTGACCCGGCCAGGGCACAGGGAATGCAGGGAATCCTGGCTCTCACCTTCTTTTACCTCTTTTATTTCCCTTAAAGATGCACTTCCTCCACCACCTTTCCAAAAAATCTAGTTTTTTCATTCTTTTTGGTCCATTTAGCTAGTATGTAATATTTTCCACTGTGTGTGTGTGTGTGTGTGTGTGTGTGTATGTCAAATAGAAGCCACAGGCCACAATTGTTGTGAGGTCCCAATGGGCTATGTTTTCTGTTTTTCAGCAGAACCCCCAGAATTACACTGGCATTTAGACTATATTCATAATTTTACTACTGAAGACCTCAGATAGGAGCATATATAGCTCAGTTCTTCTTTTTTTCCCCCTGTACAAGCTAAAACTTAGAAGTAGTCATCAGGGAGGACCACACACAGTGATGTCCAA